AATCTGCACACGTCCTGCGAAAAAACGTAGTTGAAAAACGTATTTTTAAAGTTTCATATGAATGCATTCAAGGAAAAATAATAAAATTATGAGATGAGAGATCAGCACATAGTCAGACAAAAGACAGATTTTTAACTGTCCATTTGTTTTGCCTACGTGGTGTGGAACATCTTGTCCTCGGAAGCTACAATTTCAGACCTGTTCAGTGAAACCTTGATTCTAGTGAAAGTCAGAGGAGTACCTCTGAAGAGCAGCACTGAAGTATTTTCACGTGCCCCATACTAATAATCTTTTTATAAAATACCCGTCTGTTCCACTATGGAGAAGAAATACAATGTTAACTTGTCTTAATCCTTACAATTTAGAGAAAGCAAAAGATTTAATCCTTTCCCGTGTCTTTTGGCATGTGAGAACTACAGTAAATCTTCCTGCAGCAACAACCACAAAAACAATGCTCCTTCTAGCATTTCCTGTGGGAGAAAAAAAAATCTAGCCCTTTCAGAGCTGTTCAAGAAAGAACTTCCCTCTCTATGACTAAGTCCTGATGCTGCTGTTGTTTTTACTCAAATTAAGCTGTGACTGGCATCAGTGAGATTTCTGGGTGTCAATTTTTGAGGTGTAGATAAGCCGAGATCATAATTAAGTATGTCTTATAGGTTCTGTAGACTCCCCGGGACTCCTGACATGGAATGAGAAGAAGGCCTCAAAGGCCTCCAAATCCTGGAAGCCCTGTGGATTGTGGGAAATCCACTGGAAATCAGGACTGTCTGTAAAGCCTTGGGTTCTCAACCTGTCTCCCTGTCTATAAGGCAAAGAGCCATCAGCCTCTGTGCGTGACCAAGGTTGCTGCAGCAGCGGAGTTGCTAATCTGAAAAATGCTAACATCCAAAAAATCAGTCTTCTCCCCATCTCTTCTCTCCCCTCCCCAAATCGTAAGATTGCTTTTTTCAAAACTCATCATTTTGGCTCTTCTAGTTGCTTTCTGGTTTCTGAAATGTGACGATGAGCTGTCTTCCTTTTACAGCAAGGACTAGGGCTGAAACCTCACCTTTTAAATGGTTCTCACATGTTCATTTGAACCTGCTGCTTTAAAAGATAAACGTTAGAAGTAGTGAGAGTTGGAGACATAACTAATACCTAGCCTCTCCTTTTTTAGGTAACCATCCCACTAAATTGGGGGTGGTTATCAGAAGGACTTCTGCTTCTGACTCCTCCAAAAATGAATGGGAGAAATAACGTAATTGTAATGTCCGCTCCAGAGCAAAAGCCCCAAGACCATGGAAGTGTGTGGAAATACAGATACATGGGCTATACACAAGAGTTTCCCGAGTACTGTGTGTTACTTTTGGTTTTGGCAACACACACACCAGACTGATGGTATCTGTTACCTTCCTTCCTTTTACACAAGAAGTTGCCGTTAGAGCATTTATTCAGGATGGTGCCTCTGTTTCCTCCCTGCCTAGAGGGTTCCTACCTCCTAAGACAGCATCCCAACCACTCTGGTCTCTTGCCAGTGGCTATTCAATTATTTATACAAGGTGGAAGCATTTCAAAAGATGAAATCTAGAATACTCCTTCTTCAGGAAAAGGATAGATATGATAGTACTGTGCAGGGAGGAAATACAGGGTAGGATCCCCTAGAACAGACAAAGAAATGGACTTCTCACAGCCACGCGAGAGCTCAGATCTCTGAGCTGCATTGCTATCAGGTAGATTAAACCTTTTTCCAGCAGGCTTACATATCTGTGAAAACATATTTGTAAAACACATCACCAGTTACAGCCTGGGTGTCTGGAATTATGAGGATAAGCCCCACCTATTTTGCTTTGGGACAGGGCTGTGTTTCACTTAAATTTCACTGGCTCGTTCTAACGTGGTCATTTCTGCCACAAAAGACAGAGCTCCTGATGAACAGTAACTTTACAAAAACAAAAAATAAGACACAAGAAACCCTACAATATAATTGTTACAGTTCTTTCTGCTTTAATTTGCTTGTGCAAACAAATAGTTAAATAGCTCAAAGGTGGTTTCCTTTGGAGAATGTGTTTATTTGATCAAATTCAGTGTGGCCTAGACCCCAAATACAAACACTAGTTTCAAACAGAGCGCTACTATAAAAGTAGAACTAGTCTGTGGCCTTCTAGACCTCACAAACTATGTTGGTTTGTTACAAAGAGTCAAAATGAAGCTGTCCCTTAAAACACACACATGAACTCCATGTTTTTCACTCACTACGATCTTTTCTCTCTGCTCTACTTCTCGTTCCAATCGTTGGGGCTGTGCCTAAATCACTGAGATCCTGGTTGAACTATAGGCTTCTTAATTAAAAGCACATATAGTATGAATGGGACAGCCTGCATACTTTAATCATTGAAGAACAGGCTTTGGGAGCTATTGCTCCTGTTTACTAAGCTTAAAGCTCTACACCCGTCAGATTTTAGAACAGGACTTACCTTTTACTCGTGATTCCCTTCACATTCCAAAAGCAGGGTGAGGAAGAACACCACGGGTTTTCCTCTTCCAAGAAGAGCCTGGAAGATCTTGCTAGTTTGGGGGCTTTTTTGTCCTTAGCTGGCTGAATCTTCAGACTTCTGATAAACGCTTTAAGCATTAAAAATGCATTATTAGTACATTATGAGATAGGCCAAGTTCGCCCACCTAATGGAACAGTCAAACCCATGCAAATGCCATGCAGTGCAGGAGTTATGCCAAATTTGGGGAACTACCCTTGATTATCTCCAGCTCCTCCTTTCATTTGTAAACGTCCAACTAATCACAACTTGCCTGTGACTTCTATGAAGTGGAAGAAACTGCATCCCTCGTAACATCTAGGAAGTGCTTAACTTTTTTTTGCAGATGTTAATGTATTTCTGTGATGGGGACCTATGGGCTCCATCTGGTGGCTAATTTAAAATACATATACTTCTATTTAAAAAGATGAAACAGTTCTACAGTTCAGCTGAGTTTAATGCGTGCAGACTAAAGGAGCAGATCCTGCTGCAGTTGTGCTTTCCTTTACAACTGCTGTTCTTAGGGTAACAAGACAATTTTAGAGACTGGGAGTAGGACACAGCATTTCACCTCTAATCTAGCTCACTGTGGACTAAAAGCTATTCCCAATGCCAGCTGTTCATTTGTGTTCACAGTTCTGTACATAAACCACATCACAACTGACACTAATTAACAGTACTTTTGCAGTCTCATCAGAAAAATCTAATATTCACCAAGGGCAACCCACCTTCCCACACTCAGAGATGACTCTCGCAGCATAGTTGGTGTATTTGAGTGTGTTGGTGCAGAGAAGCTCAGTCATGCCTTATGAGTTGTGCGTGATCTGCACATAACAGAGATCTTTGAGGGTAAAATGCAGGCCAGCACCTTAATAAACATTGATTTTAAACACTGATATTGCCTGCACCTTAATAAACATTGATTTTAAACACTGATATTGCCTGGGGTAAAAAAAAAAAAAAAAAAAAGTTCACAAGTGCACTGTAATTAGAATACTTTTTTTTCTCATTTGTTACTTTTCTAAACAAAATAAAGGCACCTCCTGACCTCTGACCCAGTCCAATAAGAGCCCCTGGGAGGTCACGGCATCAGTCCAATGAAATTCCCTGCCACATACATAGAGTATTTTAGGTAGACACATTGACTATATGGGTATTTGCTGCTGGAACGAGGAGCATTTGGAAGCTAGCAGTTTGCCCAAGACCTGCTTCCCCAAGTTCACATTGCCTGCCTGGGTAGCATGAATTCAGCCCGAGTTCAGTTGTCTACAAATGCCATCTGCCCATGAAAAAAGGGCCTCCCAGATGACTTCTTTGCCCAACATGAAATACGTAACACTGCATAAAGGCTAGATACGCTATATAGATAATTTTGGGCCAGGCATATGCTGGAAGGGCCCGGCCACATGTCAGATGGGTGCATCCCAGAACGCACTCTGAAGCGTGGAGCACCACTCTCACGGCTTTCCTCTCAAAGGCATGCCAGCAAATTCAGCCCCGAGCTGGCCTTGAGAATGCTCTAGCAGGTAAGTAATACAGATAGTTGACAGAGCTGCTTCACATGCAGCCTCGAAGCCTTTCCCGCTCTGCAGTGTAGACACAGCCACTTGGTCCAATGATGCCATGGTGTATATAAAAACATCAAGTGCAAATTAGTAGATACTGAAAGTAGTACGATAGCATACTTTGTACGATGTGATTAACATACCCAGAGAAAGAAAGCAGCGTACTTTGGAGGATTGTTTTAAAATGTTATATACTCACGTTCCAAAGTTACTGACTGCTTATATCGGATACAAGATTGCTCCATTTGTCATAAATTGATTTGGTCCCCAGAGACTTACAGGAATCGTAAATGTTTGTATCATTTAGCTGCACTTAACCCAAAATAATCATTTGAGAGTTAAGTAAATACATAACAGTCACCTCTGAGTCAGGTGAGTTAAAAACCAACAAAAATAAATGAAGAGGCAAATATGAAGCAGTATGAAGAAGTATTCCAGAGTGGTGGGTGTTTCAAGCTACGAAAAGATCAGTCTGAAGGGAAATAATGCTCTTGCAACTGCTTCAGCATCCACTAAACCAAGCCATAAACCACTGTTGGAAAGTAATAAATACATAGCAAAAATAACTTCTGGGAGGTCTAGGAAGTATTTTTCTTTAGCAAACCTGTAGTAGTTCTACAAATGGAAAGCAAAAGAGAAAGAAACACGGAAACAAATGAAAAGTTTCTGAAACAAGATCAGAACGTTGTTTAAGGATAAGTGGTGTTTGGGTGGGGTAGAGGGTTGAGGGAAATGAACCCTATGGCTTTTAAGCAGAGTTCCCAACCTTAGTGGGTGCTTTGAACATAACCGAAGGACGGGTATTCACAGCAAAACCAAACCATAGTGAGGTGGGAGGGGCCACATCATGCTAGCAAACATAGTACTAGACCGTGGGCTTCTGACTTTTTTAATATTTTTCTTGCATTTCTTTTCTGCATGGCAGTAGTGAAATAGGGACTTCTAAGCTTCTGAACAACTGAGAGAACCAGGTTTGAAGAAGACATGAGGAAGAAGTGTTCGGCAAAAGATTTCTTAAAAACTCAGAACCGTGTGTGCCAGATCTGAATTGGCATCATCATTGCTTTTTTGACAGACCACTTGCAAAAGACACCAAAGCAGTCAAATTAGAACACTCAGTAAAAGTTCTTTTGGACTCTTTTCTATACTATAAAACTTACTTTCTTGTGACTATTATTTACATATGTCAAAAACTAACTGAAGTCTCCTTTTACAGAGCAGATAGCTAAGAGAGGCAGATGCCAGGTGTTAAGGGCAGCACTCAAATGAGTTTGCAAAGGCTGTTAATCATGCTGGACCATTCCTTCTCTGAAATGAGGCTTACTGACTAAAGCTGGTCAGACTTTTTGGTTTAAACATTAGAGGTGTATCCTGGTGAACTAAAGCTCATGCATTTTCAGGCAGTTACAATGCTAAACTACCGAGTGTTAAAGAAATAACTTGTTTTAGTCTGGAGTACAAGGTGAAAAAAACCTTGAAAACTGAGCAAAAAGGGTCCCTGAGGAAGGACAGGATGGTGAGAAAAATCCAGCTGACTCTGACTCCCCTTGCCGCCATGATCATCATTTGCAAGCTGAAGAGGACCTTCCATGCAGCACAGTGCTTAAATACGGAGAGTAAAAAAATGGTGCTCTGGTCTCATTACGAGAACGGTGAAAAGTTGGGACCGACAAGGCGACGAGTAAACGTGAAATAATCTTCACAGGGCACAGTGTGCACTTTGTTCTGGACCTAAACCTTGCAAAAGTTGGCTTGGAGAAGAGAATAAGGCATTCACGTTCAGATTCGAGCGTTTCAGGAATCCTAGTATTTCCAGCTAAGCTAATGGGGAAAAGGCAAAACAAGGCAGTCAATGTTTCAAACTTAGGGCCGGCATGGATTAAAAACAGTATTAATTTCCTTTGCTCCCCCAGACAACAGTGGATCAGTCCCCCAGACAACAGTGGATCAGACAGAGACCTGTAAGCAGACTAAACATGCTCATCTATATTCTGCTGTAGTTATGCATCTTACTAATTCTAGTCATGACTATAAAAGGATGTTTCATTGTTAAGTATAACTGCTTTCTCAAGAAGAGTCGGTCTATAATTTTATTTAAAATTGGCATTATTTTTGTTACTGTTGTAAAGTGTGTAAAGTATTGTCTGTATTGCAGCTTGTATAGGGCATGTGTCTTTTGCTTGCTTTACTCTTTTGGAGTTTATAAAGTTGCTATATAAAAGCAAGATGGTCAGGTATCTTTGAATGTGGTGGTTTAATCTGATTACATAGCCCTGAACATTTCAGCATATAGATGTTTAAAGTATCAGTGGTGTTAAAATATAACATCTCAAACAGTAATCTAGGCATTTTAAAAGCCTTCAGTACAATACTGGAATGCTGACACTTCTGTCACAGGTGGCTGGTCTAGAATAATGGGTGAGAACCGAGAAAAAGCCAGATACCCCTGGAGAACTGCTCTGGGAGAAGGCGCAATACAGCTGGAGAAATCTAATAGAAAACGGAATGACCTTTCCAGAGAGACCAGAAAAGTTGCAAAACTGCTAGGACCGTCACGAAACAGAGGACAGAAGGGAAAAATGCTTATAGCATCATTATAAAGTTAGGCCTAGAACTACAGGGCCAAAGTAATTTTTTTAAGCATAGGAAGTCTAGAACAGACTGGAACTGTTTTGTAACTTAGCAATTATTTGCAGTCTATGCAAAGTATAAGTCAAGACATTCCAGGATAGTTTTCATTACCTTTAAAACTTAATCTGTACTTTGATACAGTGTCTTTAATAAAATGTTCTTACAAGTCTGCTTATTATTCTCATTTAATTCCATCCTATGCCTGAGTTTAAAAAGTCCCAGCAACAAGAGTGAAGTGTTAATTAGCATCTGCTTCATCTGCTCCTGAGTTCTTCCCGTTCACCTAATAAGAATGACAAGGGGAAAAACTGAGACAACTAGAAGTCAAATAATCATAAGAATGAGAAAATAAGAGAAACTCATAGCAGCTACAGCTCATTTTTCATCAAAGTTCTTCACGCTAAGCATTAATCAAAGTGATTAATTAAATTGTATTGATTTGTAAGTATGAAGCATTGATCTTTGACTGTATTTACAGTATACCATTTTCCTTGTTTAGACTTCTCGCCATTTTCTAGCTTTGCAGTAATTGCCAATAACAGGAGCATGTTGTTTAACGCCATTCAGAGCAGGTCTAGACAAAATTCAATATTTTCATTTCTCCATCGCCATCACCATTTATCCATCTAGCCATTAGAGAGTATCCTTCTAATCTTTTCAAAAAAGATCAAGCAGAGCTAGATCTTTATACTAGAAGATTAGAATACAAAATAATCTTGGCAAGGTGAAGATATGATCTGAAAACTTAAGATATTATTTAATAGGAACAAGTGCAAGTTGGAATCATCAGCTATATAAATAAGGAACAGCTGCCTAATTTCCATTGAAAAGAATCTGTCCCACACTGGATCAAATTCTGAACATAAGTCAGCAACCACACGCTGTTGCAAATAAAGATAAAAACTGAGATGTCTAAACTGGAGCATAACCTGGTCCTTCACGACTTGTAAGGCCTGAGCTGGTAGTGTCTCCAGCTTTGATCATGGCACCTGAAAAAAAAAAAGGATACAGAACACATGCACAGAATCCACAAGAAGGCAAGGAGAATGCCTGTAAGTCTAGAAAATATTGCCTTTGATGACAGACTAAATGATTTTAGGTTATCCTACAGAAGAGAGGGCAGAAGGGAAACGTGATGATTTTTACATACATGAAAGATGGCTGTAAAGAAAAAAGGAATAACGTTTTCCCATATCCACAACGAACAGCATAAGAAATAATGGGCTTAAATTGCAACTAAGGATATTTTGGTTTGACACAAAGAGTGGACTAAATGACCTGTTGAGGTGCCTTTCAGATCTGATTCTACAATTACCTGCAGACAATCTGTTCCAAAGTCTCCTGCTTACTTCTGTCAACAGAGCTGGCACTAGTGGTAAGAAAAAGATGCTGAAGTTATGCAAAGGCAGTCAAGAACTGAAGGTATAAAATGCACAGCATACTAGTTCATCTAGTTGGTGACACTACTATCTGCTTTTAATCATGCCAAAGCAAACTGTCAGAAGTGTATGTAAATAAGACCACTCTAAAACCACCTAATTATAAAATAATTATTCCTTGAAACGTCAGGAGTTAGCATAATCAGTGTTGCCAGCTTTAATGATTTTATTGAGTCCAATCAATCTGATGCAAACTATTTTCAGTTTTGTGATGCTGTAATCAGCTATTTTACTTTTCAAATTAAAAAAATTATCTCTAAAAATTACATGGAAAATCTTTAAAGTGTAATCTGAAGTTATGTGAAAGATGAAAAAGCCACAAGACGAATAAAGTCACATGTGTTTTTTAATCTCACAATTTTAAATTAGGCTTATAATTTTAGAAGATCTGACTCATCATTTCTGAACTTCTGGTTTGGCAATATCAAATTACTGTGCCCTATATTCTGCTATTCTGAATATTTGCATAGCACTGATCACACATTTGCATAATTTGCAGAAAACACGTTACACCGAATTGTAGGGTTTTTTTTTTTTCCACAGAGAATGAACATTTCTCATTTAAGAAAGATCATGCATTGTGGCCACCTTTCATATTAAGAGGGAATATCTGTATGCAAAACTGCAAGTCTATAAGGACAAAATAACACAAAAAGTTACAAGCCCCCCCCCCCAACACATACTGCCCTTTTCAATACAACAGTACATTGTGAGAAGAATTTTTTGTCATTTCAAATACTCATACTTCACATCTGAATTCCAGTTACTATACATATATTCACAAATATAAACCAGATGAATAGTTTTAGTGATGAAAGGATATTATGACATAGTATTATTAGAACAACAGTTGCTTAGACTTTTCTGAACTGTGATTGTGTTTTCACAAGCACAATTCATTTACCTTCCCAAATATAATCTGATTTAAGTTATTTTCTGGATATTTTTGCTAGGGAAATGGCTAACAATTTAAGGTCTAAGACCGTCTGTCTGATCGTCAGATCTCAAATCCTGTATATCACGGGCCGTTACATTTCAACATGCTCATTTTAATGAGCCAAGTAGCTGATGCCTGATTAAACCTTAACTTGTGTATTTTTATATTGCATTGCCTTACAAAGATAAGGTTGAGTTCTCAGTTCTGCTCCAGATACTGAGCTCTTGCTTCACTGGAGAAATCTAAATATCATCTTCAATTCTGACTGGGCGGTGTAATGGAGAATAGCCTACAGCGTATTATGTAACACTGGCAAACAGGAGACCTGGGTGTATTATTGATCTTAAACACAAATAAATGGATCAGAAAGAGGCCTGCATAGTTTCAAGAGTGCTGACTTGCTGTTCCAGAAGTCCCTATCAAAATACGGCTTAAAAATTCAGGATGGGGGAACAACAGCAAATGTTTTGTTAAAGGGAAAATCGACTTGCGCTGAACTCTGCACCATAAAGCTCACTCTTTAATTTCTAAACCAGTTTGTTTGGCTCACCTGTATCATGACTGCATATGAAGCAACATAAAAGAAAATCATGTGGCTGTTCCCATAAGAGAGGATGACTGTGTAGATGAGTTGGTGCACAAATTGTGCTGCAAGTCTTAAGAGAACTGCTGACAAAAAAACGGCCTTGTAACAGCTCTGCTGAGAAGGGAGAATAAGTCTAATGAGATTTTACGGGTTGTTCCCTCCAGTTAAACTGGACTTTCTCTGAGGACATCGATAAGAGATCAGAGATGGTGACAAGAGTATCATGTGAACTTTTGATTTTGAACAGAAGTTTAAAAAGCAGCTTAGATGTACACATAAAGCTGTATAAGAAGAAAACAGCACCTGTATACTCAACTGGAAAAGAAATGCTTCTGCAGCAGGAGAAATGAAATATTTAGTAGCCGGAGTCTACAAAACATTTGATTCTTTGAGAGAATGCTCATGATTCACTGTGTCATTTACATCACTACCATTAAAACGATAGCCCCATAACATTCCTCCAAGATATTTTCCCCAAATCTACCATAGCAGAAATATAATTCAAACTATAAAACAAATAGGATGGAGGGAACACTATCACGGTAAGCAATAATTCCAATCAACGCAAATGCCTCTTTACCAGGCTATCAGTATATCCGGCTAGCTGCACAAGAGCCATATTAGTTATCAGGCCAAGAAAACTGTCACCCCAAACGAGTTTTATCTAGAGCTGCTGTACGTAGTTTGTATCTGGGCAGATAAAGCATATAACTAAAAGCTCGGGGCCAAATTCATGAAATCGCATTTAGGCATGGAACCCGTTTGATTACAGATACACCTAGGTGTGATGTCAAATTAATTTTGCTGCAGAGATTGTGTATTGTGCTAATCAATATTGTCTTGTTACTTCTTATTCTATTTTTCTCCACCTTGTTTCTGCCCTGTATGTTTTTCGAGGCAGGGACCCTCTTTTTACTCTGCAATAACAGGGTCCTGGTTTATACTGTATCTATAACAGACACATTACTAGTGTTCCTAAGGATAAAATAATAAGTAACATCAAATTTTCAACCAAATCTGAATTTATCAACCAACTCTCATTGTACTGCTCTCCTTATGATACAATCAACTGAATGAAGGAGCAGCGAATTACAGGAAGAGACAGTTTAGTGATGAATCGGTCGCTGGTCTAACTGCAAGAGAAAAGGACACCTTCCCCTCCAAGAAACATGCATACAGGATATACAGAGAACCCCGTGTTGGCGGTACAGACAGCTTCCAGCTTCCATTTTCCATTGACTTCAGGATTTCTGCAAAGTCAGAACCTCTATGTCAAAAAAACTGGGATCTCTGGGAAAATAATAGTTATCTAAGCATGTTCTATATTGACTGTCAGAAGCTGAAGCTATTCTGTCTCAAGACTACATACATACATGTACCACATAAAAGAGGTGGGATCCTCATGTCATGTGAAAAAGCTTTCAAAAATACGTAATTAAAACAAGAACGCTTTTTACGGTGAGTTAGACTACCTGCAATAAGTGCATAAACATAAATCAGTGTGGTACAGGCTGTAACAGACATTTTCTACCTGGGCTGCTATAACCTAATGCTTAAAGGCTGGGGCCCAAATTTATGACAGATGATTTAAGCACACCCTATATTTAATCCTTCCTTCATGTAACACAAAGTCTGTGGAGAGTCGAAACTCTGCCTCACTTTTAAAGTAGCTACCCAAAAGAAACTATTCGCTAATCCTCAGAGGAAGAAAGATCTCAACATGGTATTTTGCTGTCGTTACCATTGTTGGAATATTTTCAAGCGTTTGCCTGAAAGTAAGGAAGCATAATTTGGAGGAACCACAGCAGATTTTCATGTTTAATGTATTTTCATCAAAGCATTTGCCTCGCTCTGAGTTAATAGCTTCATAGCTTTTGCAATGTAGCTAAATGTAGGCGTGACGACATTTTATATTAGCACAACAGACAAAAATTTGGAGACGTTTCAAGAATGGTCGCCACGCAGAAATACGCAGCAACAGGGCTCCTGAAACCCATGCTAACTTTCTTTCAGAGAGCAAAGCAAAGCTACGTGCCGTATCCTTCTCTCTTATACCCGGCTGGGCTACCGTTTTAGTAGCAGTGAAAAGTAGTGAAAATACGCTGCTGTGGTTTCAGAAGGGGCGGCTGGATGAGGGGAGAGACTGCGGGCAGCCTGAAAGGGAGAACTGTGTATCTGCAGCACCCAAGGTGGCTGGACTCATGAGCCAGCGGTGCCAGGGAAAAGGGGACGTACGCGAGCAGGGCTGTCAGCCGGCCAAGTCAGGCCAAAATAAGGCTAAAAACGGCTTCAGCCTTGCTGACGGAGGGAACTTGCCTTCTGCCATAGAGGGAGCGTGCGAAGTTACTCGCTCCGTGGAGAATTTTCCTCGGGCTTGTGGCATGTCGGCCCCGGCCGGGGGTCC